TTATTCCTGGCTTTCTTTTTATATGGATCTGGAAGCATCAGGATGCCAGCAGAACTCTGAGCGTAAAGAGAAAAAGGAGGAAGCCAAGTTAAATGATCTTGGATCTGAGAGACTTGAGAGAGAAGCTTTACAAGTAACCACCTCAAGCATTCTTCCATTTGTGGGCAGGACAGTTTATGAAGAGTTCAGTGAACCCGGGGTAGGTTCAGAGCTTTTCTGTATCATCCCAAGGGATAGGACCCCAGAGCAATGGATTTAAGTTACAGCTTGTGCAGTTCTGATGGAATGCTAGAAAAACATGCCTAGGAGAGAGTGGGCTTCCCTTTTCCACACGTATGCAAAGAGAGGCATGGCAACCCCTTTTCAAGGATACTTCCACTTAATTCCTGCACTGAGCTGCATGGCCTAATGACCCCCTTTGAACATTGGAGTCCATGATTTATTGACATTTTATTTTTCAGACAGTGTGTTTTATTGTTATTTTCCAAATTAGAAACATTTGGGAGCTGTAAATCAGTGCAATATAAAGGTTTCTTTACAAAAAAAGAGTAGAAATTAGGGATTCCTCCTCTCCCCTCATGCCCCAAATAAATCAAAGTGGACATTATCCGGGTGTAAGTCACTTCCTCTCTCTTTTATAGATAATTTTTATTAAGAACTTGGATTATATTAGTAAAATCTAATACAAACTAAACTTAAAGAAAGAGAATAGAAAGAAGGAGTAAAAAATGCAAGGCAAAAGAAAAAGAGTTTCTGGTGTAAGTCTCTCAAGGACACTCTCTGGATGACAAGAAGTGGAGAAACTGGGTTGGCATTGATGCTGTGTGTGTGTGTTTTTCTTCTTTTTTTATTTTAAGGGTAGCACGGGTAAGGATCCCCTGTGGGACAGTGTAGAAGTTAATCCATTTCCCATTTATAGTCATGTTCCTCCTCCTCCACAAGGATGAGAAGCCTCCGTTGTAATTCATGGTTTACTACCACCCTTGGCTTTCTAGAATTCACAGCACGCCATCTATGTGTTTGCCAGCGGCCCATCCGCTGGGATTCCTTTGGGACCCCTGACAACAGTGGAAGGTGACTGGGCCTTGTACAGTGAGCTCCAGCAGAACAACACACTAGAGACGTGTTCGAAGGCCACTTTCGGAAGACCAGCCTTTCCATCAGCAGGGATGGAGGAGGAGGAGTTGTGATTCTGTATCTGGGAACAGGCAGGGTAAAATGTTGTGAGTCCACAGAACCTTCTCAGAACCAAAAGCCTACCCAGCTTTTACCTCTCCTCACCTGTAGAACTATCAGCCTACCAGACAATTGCCTCTCTCTCCTTTTTGTTCCAAAGGTCCTTCCTGTCCCTCTTGCTTAAAAAGAAAAAAGTGGAGGAAATGTAAATATTGTGGAATAAATAAAAAACATTATAAAGATTTTTTTTTGGTAATCCTGGTGATTCTGTGATTGCTGTTGTGGCTTTTCTTGTCCCTGGCATGGCTGCTGTTCTGTCCCCCCCCCCCCCGCCGCTACAATTGGATCCCATGGGGCTGGAAGGTGGGACTATACAGACATCCCCTCCAGTCGCACGGATCTCCCATTCGTGCAATGCTTTCACTGCTTCAGACAGGGAATGCAACGGAGGAGAGCTGGGATATCACGTGACGATGAAATCCTGGTCCTGATCTACCGGAGAGGTGGGAGGCTCAGTGATGTAAGAGTGGAACTATATTCTGTTGGGAATCATCATCATCATTATCCCTTCATGCCTCTGAAGTATACCTTAGACCAGTGTTTCTCAAACTTGGGAACGTTGAGATGTGCGGACTTCAACTCCCAGAATTCCCCAGCCAGCCATGGGAGTTGGGAGTCGAAGTCCACACATCTTAACGTTCCCAAATTTGGGAAACACTGCGTTAGACCAAACAGCCTGATGACCCTGGAGAGAAGAAGACAGGTGACAGAAACCAGATTGTTGCCTTTTCCTTGGTGTGAGAGGAGACAATATAGAGGACATTGTTTATGTTAGAAGGTGCTAGTAACAGTGGAAGGGGGCAGGCCTGGAGCCTTTGTAGGAATGCAGAACTTGGAGGCACCGGGTCAGACCACAATAAGGTCATCCCATGTTGTTATCAGATGCTACATCTGGCTGTAAATGTATGATTTACGTTGCTTTCTTCATAGTGTCTATGCAACACCTCCAAAGGCACAGTATATAACCTGTGACCTTACTACCTGGGGGCTCTTTAGGGAGGAGCCCAGAGATCACTGTAGTTGTGCATGCCAATAAAAGGTATTTCGTTGCATCCATCTCCAGTCGCTTTGGTTCCTAACTTAAGTGGGCATTTTCCCCACAACAACCCAGGGAAAAGCCATACTGGGAAGTGAGGGTCTTCCGATCCTAACCCAGTTTTCTCTGACTTGGGCCCTCCAGATGCACGGCGCTCCGACTCTCCCAATTCTCAGCTACGTGATGGGCAGATGTTGGGTTAAGCTGCTTTATATCGCACACCATCTGGTTGCACACCTGCTGCTGAGACCCAGCTTGAAAACCTCTTTAGTTTTTGAAATTGAAGTCACGTTTTCCCTCTTCTCTTGACACATTTGTGTTGCGGTTCCAATCTAGCACACTTTCTTCACAAGGTGATTGCCGATCCATTTAAGACTGTGATCCACTGGTCTCCTACTGGTCACTTCAGTCTGCTTGCCCTCCCCTCTGGTCACTGGACAGAGCCCTCAAAGGCCATGTTGGCTTGTGCTGCAGAAAGACTGGACGTTTTCTGAAACGTTTACCAGGTTTTAGGTGGGTTTGTGATAAGCATTCCTCCAGGTTCCTTTGAAAGAGTGTGCTGGACCTGTTTCTTAAATATGGCGCTCTTTCCTGCCGGTTCAAGGATTTTAATGCAGCTGTTTTGCTTGTCCTGAGATCAACAAGGAGATGATATTGAGTTTGTATAATTTTCTATGTTAAAAGGTAAAAACAACAACAAAACCATTGCCACCTACTGGTAGTATTTACAATTACAACATTTACCGATAGCTCAATTTGGACCAGTAGTATTTCAACTTCAGAAAGTTCTTAGTCGGGATCATTAAATTCTAAGAGACCAAAACCACAGAATCAGTCTTTACAAATATATGTTGTTACTGTTGTTGTGATGGCTATGGATCAAGGCTGAACCATCCTGAAACATACAGGATTGTCCAAAGTGAGGCGGAAGTGTGTACATGTGAGTCCTGCCTGGTGGAAACCCCCCTTCTGTATCAGACAGTAGAAGGCGTAAATAAACGATTGGCTGGAAGGAGAAGGGGACAGATCATGTCACGGAGGCAGGGGGTCTTAGAAAGGTGGGCTAAAATGCCATATAAGGGAAAAAGTAGAGTTTGAGCCAATTGTTGCTCATTTCTGTGTTCCCTTGTTCTGAAGTGGTATAAAAGGCTGATGTAATCGGCGTTCGGGGTCTCGGCTCCTTTCGCTGCCGGGACCCTTTTGCTGGAGCACTTCAATAAAAGTTTTTTTAGAATACTGCACCTCGTGTCTGGATGTCTTAATTGGCTTCGGCGCCAGGCGAAACCCATTTTGGGGACAACGGTTGGTGTTATTTTAATTTGTATGGCTGCCTGTCTCATCGAAGCAACACTGTGTGGCTCATAACAGGTTATGGCTCATGCAACAAGAAATGATATCTCAGGCTAATTGGACTCCATTGCATTTGTATGGAAAAAGAAAGTGCATCTTCGTTTTGTTTGGAGATGTTTATGTTTCCTCAGAATCCAGGTCTGTGTTTGCTTCTTCTGGCCAATCGCGGAGTGCAGAGAACGACCAACCAATCAGGGCTTGGTTGCTTTCCTTTCAGGCTGGCCAATCACTGAGAGCCACCTCCTGCTCCCACAGGTATTCCCAGATCCATGCCTGAGAAAGATCTTGTCCTTTTCGTCACGAAGGGAACGGAAAATAAATTGATATCTATGCCCAGTGTGTTTTTGTGCAAACATTTGTGCATAGTGATTCCTTGTGAAATCCTAGAGGCAATACGAGGAAAAGCCGTGTGAAGGGAGGAGGACTGTTTTACGAAATCATGAATCACCCTCCCAGCTCCTATTTATTGGCGCAGCAAACCTGCATTTGGGCTCCCTTTGCTAACCATGCCAGCACACAGTGATGATGAAGATGTGGGGAGCACAAATCCCCTCTGTGGGTCCCTTTTCAAGCAGAAGTCAGTGACAGATCATTGTTTCTGAAATGCCATTTTCCTTCCCATCAATGCAGTGATTGTGGTGCAAGGATATCTTGAAATGGCTTGTAATTTGGAGCCCTTGGTTTAGTTGTATGTATGTATGTATGTATGTATGTATGTATGTATTTATAGGATTTGTATGGGCACCCAACTTAAACACAACTCTGGGCGGCTCATGACAGCAATAAAACCCAATAAAACCCAATAACTATAAAATGATAAACCATAAAACCATAAAGCCAAAACAGAATGACCATATAACGTACCCTCCTCTTACCCCATTACTAGGACCCTGCTGCTGTCTGGAGGATCTCAGAGAACAGGGATTTTCAAATTTGTTCAGGCCATGGAACCTGAACGGGAGACTTGGTAGATTAAAGTGCAGATGGCTCTACTTTGGGAATAAAGGAATCTTTTACAACCCATGGAGCATGTTCAAAGATTAGAGTATGGAAACAAAACATTGTCATTTTTACTTCTGCGTTTTCTCCCTTCCAGACCCATCGTGCCATTTCTTACTCTTCTTAAGCTGTGTGGTTACACAGTGGACTAGCAAAAGGCACACCGAAGATCGGAGGTGGTGAAATGCCAGTGAGAGTTGTCAGTCAACCTTTGCTGTGGTCAAGAAGGCCCAGGAGCTGAGTGGTGAACTGAGTTGGCCTGCACTGGGCTTGCTAGCAAAGAGTTTGTGCGGGTGGAGAGAAGTGTTGATGACGTGCTTCCTCTGTTGCTCTTTGTTGTCAAAAGGCAGTGTTCGCAGGTCCAGAAAGCAGAGCAGTGGTGTCGCTGAGCTCTGCTCTCCAGAAAGCAGAGCAGCGATGGTGCGGAGAAGAGGCCAGTTCTGCAGATGGACCATCACTTGGAGCATGGAGGCCGTCGCCTGGATGATAGGTTGAAGGTTTCTCTCTTGTCTTGGTCCACTTCAGCTGCTCTTACTCCCTCCATAATTTTTATGGCTCTCTTCTTCTTTCTTCCAGTTTCTCTCCAGATCCTTCTCTCCGAATCAACCCACCAAGGTAAATTTTACTTTCTTTGCTTCTACATGGTTGCGTTTTCCATTTTCTGAGACGAAATGGGATGAAGGATAGGGAAGTGAAGATTTCTCTCCCAAGACTGAGAGGGGAAATCCTATCCGCTATGCCTGAAGATGTGCGGGTAATATCAGAAGCCAGAGCATAGATAAATAAGCTATCAAACTGGTGTGAACTGAAAGCTCCCCAAATTGTCCTTTTTCTTATTCCTGAGAAGCGATCCTTTGTCTTCTTTCTGAAAAGAAAACATTTCTGTCCAGGAATCAGATAATTCTGTAAACGCTTTGCTCAATTTAGGTGGCAAAAAAGTGAAAAGTCTCGGCTTTCCCTCTGAGACTTTTCACTTTTTTGCCACCTAAATTGAGGTGCCCTTGATGAATAGGTTGAGTAATGAGATTTAGCTTCCTAGAAACTCTTGTTTTTCTCACTTTCTTTCCTGACATTTTAGAGAGCGTTGGTCCTTTGCTTCCTCCTTTGGAAAATGGGCATCTGTTGCAAAATCATTATCAAGTTTAGAAGAGATTTTATCTATTTAAGTTGCCTCGAGAGGAATGTAGTTCTATTGTATCAGATAAAATTAACCCATAATAACACCCTAATGTTTCAAATCAGATGTTGGATGCAGGATTTCAAGAGGTAGATCTGGCAAAGATCTCCCTCTGCTTTCCCATCCTCTGCACTGAGCCCATGGTTCCCTACCCCTGGAGACAATCTGAAAGAGGTTAGGGATGCTGCACAGAGGAAGAGATATTCACACGGACTGCAGACAGAAGAAAATATATCTCTTAAGCTGAATTTATAGGATTCCTGTTTGCCCTCAATATTATCAGTGTCTACATGAGATCCTCCAGACGTTACAAAATACCAGCTGTCATGAGCCCTATCCCATATAGCCTATGGTAAGGGATGATGGGAATTGTAATCCAGCAATACATGCAGAAAGCTGGATTTTGTCCACACCGAGCTCTCAACAAGGAATTACGTTAGTTTTAGTTGATAGAGGTGTTGACAGTTATGGTCTACTCCCCCTCCCCATTCATCGGATGTAAAGACCTAAGAGTTATTTGGGAAGAGATAATTTGGTTGTTTCCATGTACGTCCACAATGTGGGGCTTCTCTTAAATTCTTGCGACACAGTACTGCTTAACAGCTTGCAAGGATTTTTATGGGATTCTTTTTAAATCTCCTTTTCTTTCTCAGATTTCGAGGATTCTTCTTGGATTCAGCCTCCAGCAGCTCCCACCCTGGCCTGGTCCTCTCCTTACCACTCCCTTGTCAAAGGAGAACAGATCACATTAGCTTGTTCCCCCCCAGATGGACAGAAGGGAGAGAATCACGTCTTCTACCGCATCAATGAAAAGGGTCAACAATATATATATAAAAAACAGAATGGAAGTACTCTGGTTATTTCTGCATTACGAGTGGCTCCAAAAGCAACATTTTTTTGTTCTTACTGGGGGAAAAACAATGCAGGCAGAAGGTCCGAGTCTCAAAAGAGTAATCAGGTTGAATTCTCTGTCATTGGTAAGGAACTTTCTTCTACTACTTGAAATGCATACATTGATAGAAAGATGCCTAAGAGACTCCTACTACACAAAATATTACTTTCAAGGAGACTCAATACCTGTGTATTAAATTCATTAAATGAAAAAACAGACAATAAAATACCAAATAAAACGGAAAGACTATTGCAATAAGGCCAACAATAGCCAATCACTGAACAAAAGAGTAGCAGTAGCAGTAGCAGTAATAATAATAATAATAATAATAATAATAATAATAATAATAATAATAAAAATAAAAATATTAAATGTATATGCCGCCTGACTCCCAGCAACAAAAGTCAATGTCATGCTAACAGTATTTTGATGTATTTTTTCTGAGGTACCTGATGGAGCATCTGGCTGGAATCAGTGAGAACAATTGCTTGATTAGCTAAAACTTTGGCTCTGCTTTGCTAATACAAGTGTGAGCCTAGGACTAGGTTAGCCTTCTGAAGCTTGGATGCTGTACAGACGTGTGGACATCCATTCCCAGGCTTCCTAGCTGTGCTGATACTGCCTGGGTAATTCTGGGAATTGCAGCTCACACATCTGGAGGGGGCCAAATTAAAAGTCTGGACTCGCTTATTTCATAACCCAGCCCATCCTACAATGTAGCCAAGGGAGACCTTTGGCATGCCGGTTTTGTATCTGCATGTTTGCTCACCTGAGGCTGGACAATGCTTTCATGTGAGAGTCAGATGCCACCACCTCGCCAATCTTCCTCATCTCAAAAAGCTAAACAGAGGCAGGTTTGGGAGCACTTCCATGGAGGTTGATCAAGGAATCCCACAGCTCTTGAATGGAGTGGGAAATTG